CAATCATAGTAGGGGACTTTAATACACCACTGACATCACTGGATAAATCCTCTAGACAAACAATCAACAAAGAAACAGCAATCCTAAATGACTCACTAGATCAGATGGACTTAATTGACATCTTCAGAACACTTCAGCCCCAAAGCCACGGAATATACATTTTTCTCAAGGGCTCATGGGACATATTCAAAAATAGACCACATATTGGGTCACAAACAAAGTCTCCCCAAATTCAAGAAGATTGAAATCATACCAAGCATCTTCTCAGACCACGATGGCATAATATTAGAAATAAACTACAATAACCCCCGCCCCCCCCCAAAAAAGATGAACACCTCTCTGGATAGAAACTCAGTATGTTAGTGGGGCTAAAGCCATAAGTTTGCTTATTTCCTGAGCTAGAAACAACAAAAGTGGATAAGAATTTGGCTCTTGTGGGAAAACAGAATAAAATGCTCTTCTCAATACAGGGTGATGTAGTGTTGGGAAATGTTGCCTGGCTCACTTATTAAAACCAAGGTCCAGGGTAGGGCTATCACCACCCTTTGCATGAGGCCAGAACAGCTGTTGTCTACTCCTTCTTGGCACCATGGCTCATAGGACACTTTAAGCTCAGGCAGGTTGGAGAACACAGACAAAGCCTCCCAACCAGAACTAAGCCAAGCTGCTTGCTGGCTTGGGACTGCGTCTGCAACACTCCTAATACTCATGGGGCAGAACACCCACCCCACCATTATTTGACCTGGTTCTAAATTTCTGAATGTGAGGCCTGGGGCTTTGGGGTGGTGGCAACTGAAAAATTACTAGAGAGGGAGGGATAAGCAGACACACATGCCATATGAAGAGAGAGGAAAAACCTTCCACTTGAGATGAGCCCAGAATCCAAAATACATAGAAAAAGCTAACTCTAAGAAAGACAAAACACAAAACTAATACTCAATAGATGGATTCAATATAGATAAAATAAAAATAATAGAGCAAATTAAACAGTACTTAAAAATAGGTATGTTTAGAATCTTTTAAAAAATATTTTTATTAACTTTTAGAGAGAGAGAGAGAGAGAGAGAGAGAGAGAGGGAAACATTGATTTATCGTCCCACTTACTTTATGCATTCATTGGTTGCTTCTTCTATGTGCCCTGACTGGGATTGAACCAGCAACCTTGCATATAGCGGGGATGCTCTAACCAACTGATTACTGGCCAGGGCCTAATGCAGTGATGGCGAACCTATGATATGCATGTCAGAGGTGACACGCGAACTCATTTTTTTGGTTGATTTTTCTTTGTTAAATGGCATTTAAATATATAAAATAAATATCAAAAATATAAATCTTTGTTTTACTATGGTTTCAAATATCAAAAAATTTCTATATGTGACATGACACCAGAGTTAAGTTAGGGTTTTTCAAAATGCTGACACGCCGAGCTCAAAAGGTTCGTCATCACTGGCCTAGAGTCAGCTTTTAAGCAGGTGTTTCACTGAAGTGGTGAAAACAAACTAAGCCTTGATTCCTGATTGATTCGAATTCCTCTGCTAAATGGGTAGCCTCTTAGGAAGCAGGTTGGAGAGAGCTGAAATGCTTGAACCTAGGCATGTAAGTCTGAACCAGTTTTAGGAAAGATTTTTCACTGATAGCACGTGAGTGTCAACACCTTGACCCAGCCTGCTCAGAAAGAACTGTGGTGTGAAGCCATGTAATAGCATGCCTTGCTCAGTGTTTGTGGGTGGACTGAATGAGACTGTCACCGAAAGCTTTTTCCAACATAAGCTGACTTTGAATTATTAAGACAAATGAGGCTGGTTACCTGAAGGAACACTTGCTGGCTGGGGTCTTCTGGATGCAAGGGAGAGGCGAAGGCTGAAAGACACCCTTCAGTTTTAGGAAGGTGTTTCGGTATAGAAGATACTCCTTATTCTCATCTTTTTCCTTTGCACTTGGTTTCAGAAGAAATTCTGCTGGGGAGACTTCTTCTTTCCTGACCACTTTTGGTGGAAACCTGGGCACTTTGCACATGTGCAGACATTCTATTCCTGAAATGTAAACAGAATAAACGTCACTGAAAACCCTTAGTGGACCAAGGTCTCTGTGGGCTGGGGTAACGCGGCTGCAATAATCCGGACACCCCTTCACCCATTTACAGCAGCGCCTTTCTGTGGGTTCCTTTTAGCGCACTTTGTGGTCTGCTCAGAGGATACACAGCATCTATGCAATAAACAAGGAGATGTCTAGGCTATCAACAAATCTAGTCCACAAGAGTTTGGTTATCTGTGCTTATCTTGTGCCAGGTAATGTGCCAAGCACCTTAAACACATTATCCCATTGAATTAGGGACACTAATGGGGCGAATAGTCTTATTTTTATGATATCAGAGGTAAGTCCAAGTTCACCCAGCTAAAAAGAAGCAGAACCAGGATTTGAACATATCTATTTGATTTGGAAGATGGTGCTTTTACACCATGCTATAGACTAGGGCTTCCCAACCTCTTTCCATAAAGCAGAAAAGTGTAAACTGTAAAGCCCAATACATATAGATTCTTATCATTAAAATGTGATATAAAAAAAGAAATCATGATAATTTGTATTGCACATCGTGGTGAATTTAGTAGGCTGCTTGTAAGTAGAATCAACTATCCCAGGGGCTAGATCACCTCAGCCCAGTTGCTCCCCTTAGGACGGAGAATTTCCGCTTTCAGTTCCTAAGTAAAACATTTGTGGTGCATCCTTTGGGAAGCTCTGCTATTTACTACAGTAAGTAGCAAACTACCTCCTAAAATGGAGAGGCTTGCCTTTTGGATTTAGTATACAATTAATGCTAATTATTTGCAGATTCCGTTTTTGTGAATTTGCCTACTCACTAAAATTTATTTGTAACCCCAGATTAATACTTGTGGCCCTTTCATGGTCACTTTGCAAATGTGTAAAGTGGTGAAAATTTTAACTTGTGTTATGCAAGTTCCCAGTTGAGGTTGAACAAGGTGACACTCTGCCTTCTTGTTTCCACTGTTAGACTACAAACTTGTGTCCTTTACTCGTGTCATGGTCTGTTCAGGGCCATGTTTTACACATTTTTTTGTGCTTTTTGTTGGTGATTTTGCCATTTAAAATAGTCCACAAGCTTAGTGTTCCAAAGCGCAAGAAAGTTTGATGTGCCTTATGGAGAAAATATGTATTAAATAAGCTTGGTTCAGGCATGAGTTATAGTGCAATTATTTGCCATATGCTCAGTGTTAGTATATCAACAATATATGTTAAATAAGGTGTCTTTAGACAGAAACACACATAAAATAAGGTTATGTATTGATTGGTTAATGAAAATATTGTGACCAGAGGCTCAAGGGGACCTCACCCTATGTTTTCCCTTGAAGCAATGGTTTGATATTCACTTAATTCAGTGTTTGCAGAGATGCTGTAGAATCTAACTACCATGAATAATGCAAATTAACTGTGTTATATCTCCAGTCAGGAACTGAACCCTAATAGACTCTAATCAAACAGCAGCTTTGCATTAACATCACATTACAACAGCACATTGCAGCGAGCGTACCCACGCCTCTTCTCCACACAGCACATGAACAAAAGACATCAGCAAGGACTGAGGTTTTGGTGGTGAGACTGAGCGGTTGTACTTAAGGGGTAAGAGTATTTTAAGATCCAAAAAATGAGTGTGAAAGCACCTCCTCTTTTTTTTATTGTTTTATTGCTTAAAGTATTACAAAGAGTATTACATATGTCTCCTTTTTTCCCCCGCCCTTGACAATCCCCTGGCCTCCCCTACCTCCTAAAGCACCTCCTCTTAATAAAAAACACAGCAGTGGCCAGATAGATTAACTCTCCAAAGAGAGGAAGGATATAACATTAAGATTCCTGAAATGTAAACAGAATAAAAATTATTCTTTAATTTCTTGCTATGGCCAATCACCTGGATCCATGGTAAGGATCTGCATGCATTGCACTTTACAGTTTACAAACTCACCACCTTGGGAACCTTGGAAGGAAAAGGCATTTAAACGTTGGTCCTCTGAAAATCTGAATAATGGAAACGAGTTATGTGCAGCAACATAGTGGGTCTCATAACTGACCCAATGAAAATCTGTAGTAATCCAGCCAGTTAAATAGGATGTGCTTGGCTTTTCTCTGTAGTCTTCTTAATTGAATAACTGTCGCAATGTCAGACATAGGGCTTATGTCCATTGCTGTATCAAATGTAGCAGTATCCGCTGCACCTGATAAACTTGAACGCTTTAAAACATATACATATGAGAGAGAGAGAGATTACTATATGATTAGGAAACATAAATTCATTCATTTATTCATTTACTCATTCATTCATTCATTCAGTAGGTTGTCCAACAAATGCTTATTGGGTGTCATTTATGGGCCAATGTACCAGAAACCAGGACTAAAGAAATACTACATAAAAGTCATGTTCCCTGTCTGGCCAGCATGGCTCAGTGGTTGAGCATTGACCTATGAACCAGGAGGTCACGGTTCTATTCCTTGTCAGGGCACATACCTAGGTTGTGGGCTCATTTTCCAGTGGGGACATGCAGAAGGCAACCAATCAATGATTCTCTCTCATCATTGATGTTTCTATTTATCTCTCCCTCTCCCTTCCTCTGAAATGGATAAAATTTTTTTTAAAAAAAGTCATGTTCCTTTGTGAATGTACTTAATGTCACTGAATTATGCATTTAAAAATGCTTAAAATTGAAACTTTTATGTTATGAATATTTTACCACCACAAAAAATGGAAGAAGAAAAGCTATGTTCCCTATGTTCAAGGTGCTCAGAGTCAATGGAAGAACTAGATATGCAAATATTATAACACAAGGGCTATGTTATTTATAAGCACAGTGTTACGAGAGCATAAATAGATTACTTAATGTTTGTAATACTGAGCTTTTATTTAGCAGAAGAAAGTTTCAAAGTAGTACATCATGAGGACATTAGACTTTAAAATGGATAGTTATAGTGAGTAGTATGTGTGATCTTTACACAATAAATTGGGTATATAAAGTAGTTAGCTTTGAATGAGCTTATATGACTATGAAAATTGATGATAATTCAGTTTTATATATTCATTAAGACTCATAGATAGAGAATAGACTAACAGCTGTCAGAAGGGAGGGAAGTTTTGGGACTGGGTGAAAATGGTGAAGGATTAAGAAAAAAAAACAATTCATAGACACAGACAATCGTACGGTGATTACCAAAGGAGGGGGGAGGGTGGAGGTAGAAGAGGGTACAGAGGGATATATGTGATAGAAGGAGACTTGACTTGGGTTGGTGAACACACAATACAATATACAGATGATGTATTATAGAACTGTATACCTAAAACCTATATAATTTTATTAACCAATGTCAGCCCAATAAATTCAATAAAAAAGATGACTGGCAATGTTGAACATTTTTCTGTGTGCTGGTTGATCATTCACATCTTATTTTGTGAAATATCTGCTCAAATCTATAGCACATTTTTGGGGGTTGTCTTATTATTGAGTTATAAGAGTTTACATACTTTGGATACAAGTCCTTTGTCAGATACAATATTATGAATATTTTCTGCCTTTCTGTCGCTTGCCTTTCCATTTACTCCATTTTCTTACTGGTATCTTTCAAAGTTTTTAGTTTTGACAAAGTCAAATCTATCAAGTTCCCTGAAGTTTGTGGGTTTTTTTTTGTAAATGAATGTAAATGCTGCTTTGGTCAATTATTGATGAGCTTCATAGTTCTAAAGACATGTCCTCCTAATTAACTTGTAGCTCTCATCTATCTTAGATCCTCACTACCTTAGTTCAGTCCATAATATCTTGGCTAGATTAGTGAACAATCTTATGACTGACCTCCCCACACTATATACCCAAATATTGCCCCAGGCATATAGAACAGTTCTCCACCTGAGTGAGTACATTCTTCCTTGGAGGCATTCAGAAATGTACATGGGCCATTTGATTGATGGCACAACAGGCACTTAGTTTGTGGGGACCAGGGACACATTCTGAAATGTGCTAGATTGTCCTGCATAAATATGAATTATCTGGCCCCAAATGCCAACAGTGCCCACTTTAGAATTAAGGTTCTAATTAAAAAAATCTTAAATGCAACTGTTCATAGCAGCTTTATCCATAATAGCCAAAGACTGAAAAGAACCCAATGCCCATCAAAGGGTGAATGAATAAACAAAGTGTGGTATATCCATATAAGGGAATACCAGTCAGCCATACAAAGGAAAAAACTACAGATACATCTGAAACATAAATGAACCTCAAACACAATATGTTGAACAAAAGTAGCTAGACAGAAAAGAGTACATATTGGTTCTTCCTATGTGAATGATTTTACACTAGAAATACAAAGCTAATTAACAGTGTCTGGAGTCAGAACAGGGAGGACTGAGTAGAAAGGGATACATGGGAACCTTTTGGTGTGACAGAAATTATATTATGATTGCAGTGGCACTTATACAGGTGTATACATTTGTCAACAATCATCAAATGCACACATTTGTCAAAAATTATCAAATGCATTAAATGGATGCATTTTAATGTAAATAAATAATACTTTAATAAAGTAGATTTTTTTAAAAGTTAAATATACCTGTGGTGAAAGAGGTGAAGGGATTAAGAAGTACAGATTGATGTAAAGCACACCATAGGGAAAATAATATTGTGATAACTATGTATGGTGCCAGGTGGGTACTGGAAATATCAGGGGATCACTTTGTAAAGTATATGACTAGTTAACCACTATGCTGTACACCTAATATTAATACAAAATAATACTGAATGCAAACTGTAATTGAAAAATAAAATGTAGCCTTAACGGTTTGGCTCAGTGGATAGAGCATCGGCCTGTGGACTGAAGGGTCCCAGGTTCGATTCCGGTCAAGGGCATGTACCTTGGTTGCAGGCACATCCCCAGTAGGGGGTGTGCAGGAGGCAGCTGATCGATGTTTCTCTCTCATCAATGTTTCTAACTCTCCATCCCTCTCTCTTCCTCTCTGTAAAAAATCAATAAAATATATTTTAAGAAAAATGTAAATTCTTTAAAATTAAGTAAATAAATAACTAAAATTAATTTGTGATGGATTATGGCATTATTAAAGAAAATACTTTATGAGGAAAATGGACACTTAAAAAATAAACCTCTGCAATGAAACATCCTCCCTGCTGCTTGTGGAAACTGCAGAAGATCTCTGTAAGAATATATTATGTGTCCTTACCTCCTTTAAGGTAACAATAATAAAACAATTTATATAAAGACATTTTATCCCCCAAAGGCAAAAAAAATAGAGATAATCTTGCAGTAATAAAATTGCCCACTTTTTTGTGACTGGACAAAACAACTTTGTCTCTATGGACTGAACAAATGATTCAGACTCTGGGAACTGGAATCCATAAGGGCACTTATGGGTGCCTGTATCGCTATCTACTCACTAGGCATTACTGGGCAAGTGATAAAAATCTGGGTTTCTCTATGATATTGTACATTTGTGTGCTGCTTTTTTTTAAAAATCACAATATTAAATGGTTTAATTTTTGTAAAAAAAAAGTTAAATACACACTTCACACCCATTAGGATGGCTACTATTTAAAAAATACACAAGATAACAAATGTTGGTGAGGATATAGAGAAAGTGGAACCCTTGTATACTGATTGTGGGACTATAACATGGTGCAGCTGATATGAAAAATAGTATGGTAGGTCTTCAAATACTTAGAAATAGAATTTCCATATGATCCAGCAATTCTACTCTGGGAATATATCCAAAAGAATTGAAAGTAGGGTCTCAAAGAGATATTTGTATACCCATGTTCATAGCAGCATTATTCACAATAGCTAAAATATGGAAGCAATCCAAGTATCCATCAACAGATGAATAGATAAATAAAATATGGTACTAAAATATAATGAAACTAGAGGCCCAATGCACAAAATTAGTGCAAGGGGCTCGGCCCTCACAGCCCTGGCTTTGTCCAGAAGGTCATCCAGACAGTCCTTCGGCTGTTCAGTCTAATTAGCATATTAGCTCTTTATTATATAGCATATTATTCACCCTTAAAAAGGAAGGTAATTCTGACACAAGAGACAACATGAATGGACTTTGAGGACATTATGCTAAGTGAAATTAGTCAGTTACAAAAGGACGAACACTGTATATGATTCCGCTTTGATAAGGTACCTAGAATAGTCAAATTCATAGAGATAGGAACTAGAATGGCAGCTGCCAAAGGGTGGGGTGGCAGGGGAATGGAATGGAAAACTGTTGTTTAATGGGTACAGAGTTTTCATTTTGCAAAATGAAAGAGTCTGGAGATAGATGGTGGCGATGATTATATAACAATGTGACTGTACATATGCCACTGAATTGTACAATTAAAAATGGTTAAGATGTTTTTAAACAAGATAAACACAAACAAAGAATCAAACAAATAAATACAAACAAAGAGTCAGCATATGTTCCTTTCAGTGATTATGTGAATGGACCTATCTGTGTTCAATAACTTGATTCTTTGGTCCTTTTTCTAAAACAAATCCAGCCTATGTTGAAAGAAAAAAGTAACTAGAATAACATGAAAATTTAAATCCAATATCAAAATAGTGACTAATTCACACTTACATCTTTGACCTGAGTTATGGATTTCATTAGCTTGCACTTCATTTTGTAGGCCTTGAATAGCTCCCTGGCTTCTTTGGAGATGGGATTGACATCAGGGAATGGCTGAGAGAGATTGTAAACTCAGATGACATGGCTCATAAAAACCCAGAGAGGCAAATAGCATGATATTAAAGGCATATTTATAGAAAAACTATATAATTCCAGTATGTGTGAAGTAACTATGGTAATTCTAAAGCAAGCATGTCAAACTTGCAGTCTGAGGGCTTCATGCCTCGTTTATTTGGCCCATGTTAGCCTTTGAGTTTGACATGCTTATTTGAAAGAGTAACAAAGTTCTGATGCCAGTCCCTAAAAATAAAGATATTTTACATGTATTCATACACATTCTGTAATATGTGTGCCATTCACATAAACGCACTCAAAATTTTAAAAGTTTGATTAAAGCCCTAGCAGGTTTGGCTCAGTGGATACTAGTAGAGCATCGACCTGTGGACCAAAGAGTCCCGGGTTTGATTCCGGTCCAGGGCATGTACCTTGGTTGCAGGCTCCTCCTCAGTCCGAGCCCTGACAGGGCTCATTCAGGAGGCAACCAATCGATGTGTTTCTCTCATATCAATATTTCTATCTTTTCCTCTCTCTCTCACTCTCCCTAAAAACCAATTGAAAAATATACTCAGGTGAGGATTAACAACAACAACAATAAAAAATAAATAAATAAAACATTTTTTAAAAAGTTTGATCAAAGCTCACTACTTAAATATATGAAATTAGAGATACTAATGTTTTAGTGTCTTACCTCTTGGTAAACAAAAGTTTTAGCCAAAAATTTCTCAACAGAGATTAAGTGCAACTGTAAAGTGATTATTAAGAAAAGTTATTCTGAGCCATAGTTTTAGCAATGCTCTAACATCGCCAAGTGTTTTTGGAATATTAGTTATGCTTAAAAAAACACACCTTAAATTGATACAGTTTCTTTTAGTTAAAAAAAAACAACAATATCTGAGCCTTACACTGTTTTCAAGAAATCATGGATTACTCGTATATAAATGCAAATAATTCAACTACTTAGGACACAGGAAGTTAATTCTCCAAAGCTTAGGAATCACGGCCTTAGAAAAAACTAGGTCTTCATTTTTCTCTCAACTCTACCTTTATCTTCTAACCTCTCCTCTTCCCAAACTTTCAGTTATTTCAAGTAAGGTCCATAAACAGCTATAATAGCATCCATATTGTAGAAATCACTGGGAAATACTGAAAATTAAGAATCTAAAATCAGTGAACATTGTTCCTGCTCTGTTCTGTGCTAAGGTGCCATCATGTAGATGATTGAAGAAATCTCCGGACCTACTGTCTCAGGGGTGTGTGGAGGAAACATGGAGGACCTGCGTTTTACAGGTGCCAGAGACAGCTTTAGGCTTTGAGGATGCCATTTGTAGACCAAGGAGATGGCAAAGCGCCCAGAAATCTTCACAGTGATGAATGCATTCACCTGGGGACAACAGGAAGAATTGTCATTTCCTGCACAGAATTCTCATGCTCATAATTCAGGTGGAAATCATAGACATTTACATGATGCCTGGAAGGAAATCTGAGATCAACATTCACAGATAGCTTTAGTCTAATTTCATTTAGTCAGGAATGGGTTTTAGGTTTTATGCTAGAAATTTGTTTGCCATGACATCTACAGATTTGTACAGCACTTTTAAAGGCTTGTGTAGATAAAGCATCCTCATTAGGTCAGCTGCTCTAAGCAGGGAAAGACTTTTGTTTGGTTGCAAGTTACATTCCCTTGCTTCCTGAAGGCTGCCAGCTGAGGTAATATGAACTAAATGACCTAACCCATGAGCTACCATGATTTTTCTGGACAAAGGGTGGGGAAACCCTGAGGGTCAGGAAACTTGTACATGCAGGCTTGCCTCTTACAGTTTCTTTACTTGCTCTTTACTTCCCTAGCCCTCCAGAACTAAGCAGTACTTTTTAAAAATAGCCACCTGAATAGTATATGTAGGATACACGGCCACCATGAATGATTCTGTAAATTATATAGAATAGAGGCCTTAAGCTACTTCCCTACACAAGAGCCTGTCTGGTAAAAATATAACGTGAGCCACATAAATAACTTAAAATTTTGTAGTAGCCACATTAAAAAGAGCAAAAAGCAGGTGAAATTAATTTTAACATTTTATAACTAAAAATATCTAGATATTAATATATCCACATGTAACCATTATAAAAATTATTAATATGATATTTTACATTCTAATTTTTTTGTACTATGTCTTTAAAATCTAGTGTTTATTTTACACTTACAGTGTATTTCAAAGGTTCCATGGCCACAGGTGGCTAGTGGCTTCCATACTGAATAGCACAGGTCTATATACATGGTGCCCTTAGGGGTTGGTGGTTCAGTGCACTATGTAAAGCGACCCTGGCCAGCCTGTGTGGCTCAATGGTTGAGCATCTATCTATGCACAAAGGGGTCGCAGGTTCAATTCCCGGTCAGGCCACATGCCTGAGTTGCGGGCTCAAGCCCCAGTGATGGGCGTGCAGGAGGCAACCAATCAATGTTCTCTCTCATTGATGTTTCCCAATCTCTCTCTTTTTCCCTTTCTCTCTCAAAAATATCAATAAAAACATTAAGAAATAAAAATAAAGTGCCCAGCCAGCTTGGCTCAGTGGTTGAGCGTTGACCTATGAACCAGGAGGTCACGGGTTCGATTCCCGTTCAAAGGACATGCCCAATTGTGGGCTCAATCCTCAGTGGGGGGCATGTAGGAGGCAGCCAATCAATGATTCTCTCTCATCATTGATGTTTCTATCTCTCTTTCCCTCTCCCTTCCTCTCTATCAATAAAATAAAAATATAATTATAAAGAAACAAAGTGATCCTGTATACAAAATGCAACACAGACACACACACACACACACACACACACACACACACACACACAGTAACTTTATATGAATTGAGAATGTCTAACACAGAGGTTACAGACTGGCAGCTCAGAAGTTTTTGGTTTAGTCTTCTCAGAGTTTGAATTAATTGACAACTTTTAAATATCAAGCTATTTCACCAAAAAATCTGAATTTATGGCTTTTTAAAAAATCATAAAAGATAGCAAGCCCAAGCCCATATTCCCATGTGGTAACAGCCTCTAGCCCTGAGTAGAGGCTGCCTCTTCAGGGGATACAGACATCCCAGTCCACTGCAGTTCCACCTGGCAGACTCACTCCTAATTATCTGAATGTTTGATCCTTGATCCTACAGAGACATATACTGAGCTGTCAACAGAGGTAATTTCTGCACAGTGAGACTGAGAGGAAGACTTTCACTTTGAACATTGTATACTTTCTTATTTTTTTAATATATTTTATTGATTTTTTACAGAGAGGAAGGGAGAGAGAGAGAGTTAGAAACATCAATGAGAGAGAAACATCGATCAGCTGCCTCCTGCACACTCCCTACTGGAGATGTGCCCGCAACCAAGGTACATGCCCTTGACCGGAATCAAACCTGGGACCTTTCAGTCCGCAGGCCGACGCTCTATCCACTGAGCCAAACCAGTTACGGCATATACTTTCTTATTTTAAAAATGTTTTATAGTAGGCACAAGTTTTTATAATAATAATTTTTAAACTACTGTTTAAGTAATTGCTGCTTAGCAAAGATAAATACATCATGAAAGGACCAAGTAAAGTGCCAAGTGAAGTAAAGAACTGAAGTAAAAATTTACCAGCTTAGTTGGCTAGTGGAGACATCCAAACTGAATAACTCAGTTCTCTCAACCCTCCTTCTTCAATAGTATATTTCAGACCCTCAAAGAATATTATGGTTAGAGCATAATAAATGACCAGAAAAATGATAAATTGTAAAATGTTACCAAAATTTCAACAGGATCATCAAGTTTTCCCTTTGAAGGCCATGCCCATTCTCTTACAATGTATCCATTTTTGTTGATCACCAGGCCTCCATCCTCATTAAACATCATTGATATTATTTGGCTGCCAAAAAAAGAAAGAAAGAAAGAAACATGACTCATTTACAAGAAACCTTCATGTACTCATTGATTTGGCCAAGATGGTGGAAGTCATCAGGTCACAGCCTTCAAGAGGATAGGACTTCCTCCAATCACATTCTTGGAGGATGGTCACCTTGCCTCTACCTGAATATCTCCCTTGAAGAGAACGTTGGTATATACCTTTCAGATGATCAAGATCTCCCTTCTCTGAGACACATCCCCTTCCATTTCAGGAATGGACCTTGCTATCCATGATTATATACCATGTGGCCCTGCTGCCTTACTGGTGCTATTGAATCAGGGATGGACATTTGTCCCAGAACTGTGTTCCAAATGGATGCAATCTACACTAATAAAAGAGAAACATGGTAATTAGCGTACGACCGCTACCCTTCCCATTGGCTAATCAGCATATCCTTATGCAAATTAACTGTCAGCCAAGATGGCGGCCGGCAGC